AGGGCACACAGTCCCATGGAAGGGACACCATGATTCTCTCCCTTCTCGGGGAACGCAGCCCCGTGGTCATGACATCCATCATCAGGGCACACAGTTCTATGGAAGGGACACCATGATTCTCTCTTTTCTCGGGGGACACAGCCCCATGGTCGTGACATCCATCATCAGGGCACACAGTCCCATGGAAGGACACCATGATCCTCTCCCTTCTCAGGAGGGACAGCCCCGTGGTCATGGCACCCTCTGTGAAAACTCACAGCCCCACAGTGGTGACACCCATCGTAAAGGGACATGGCCCCATGGAAGGGACCCCATGATCCCCGCCCTCTTGGGGGGACACAACTCGATAGAAGGCATCTCATGACCTCCTCCCTCCTGGGGGGCACAGCCCCATGGAAGGGACCCCATGACCTCCCTCATGAGGGGACATGGCCCCATGGAAGGGACCCCATGATCCCCTCCCTCTTGGGGGGACACACCCCGATGGTCATGGCACCCTCTGTGAGGGGTTACAGCCCCACAGTGGTGACAACCACGCTGAGGAGTCACAACCCAATGGAAGAGACCCTATGTCCTCCCTCGTGAGGTGACACAGCTACCACGGAAGGAACCCCATGATCCTCTCCCTCCTGAGGGGACACAGCCCCATGGTGGTGACACCCACACTGAGGAGACACAACCCCATAGAAGGGACCCCGTGTCCTCCCCCAGGAGGGGACACAGACCCTGCAGGGACCCCATGTCCTACCCTCGCGAGGGGACACATCCACCATAGCACGGTCCCCATGTCCTCCCCCATGAAGGGCCACAGCCCCATGGTGGTGACATGTGCCATGAAGGGACACAGCCCAATGGCAGGATTCCTTGTCCTCCACCATAAGAGGATACAGCCCTGTGGTCGTGACACAGCTCTATGGAAAGGCCCCTGTGTCCTTGTCCCGTGTGAGGGGACACAACCACCACGGCAATGACACCACATCCTCCCCTGCAAGGAACACAGCCCCATGGCCATGACAGTCACCATGAGGGCACACCCTACTGGCATGGACATCGTGTCCTACCCTGTGAGGGATGTCATGGCCATGACATCCACTGTGATGGGACACAGCCCCCATGGTGGTGACAGCCACCATCAGGGGACACAGCCCCGTGGCGGGGATCCCATGTCCTCCTCTGCAAGAGGGCACAGCCCTATGACACCCACCATGACTGACACAGCCCCATGAAAGGGATCCCGTGTCCTCCTCTGCAAGAGGGCACAGCCCCGTGGCTGTAACACCCACCATGACTGACACAGCCCCATGACAGGGATCCCATGTCCTCCCCTGCAAGAGGGCACAG